GGGATCAAATACTTATTTCATTCATGAAAATGCAAATTAATGTATAACTTCTTTTGTAATGCATTTTTCTGGATTTTTTTGTTATTGTCGTGTCTCTCACTGTTCACATAAACCTAGCATTGAAATTGTAGACTGATCATTTCTTTGTTAGTGGGCAAACTTACAAAATCAGCTGGGGTTCAAATAATTTTTTCCCTGTATTCTGAAACATGGGATTTTCTTAGGTTTCATCAGGTTGTTACTATGCTCGTGTCAAGTCAATTCATTTTATTATTATTCATTATATCAGAAAAAATTGATGTGGTAGAAAAAAAAGGAGGTCACCAACAAATAATATGAGGAAACTGAAATTTAAAAAAAGAGGGGGAGGTATTTGTGTGTGCTGTAAATCGGTAGGTTAAGAGAAGCTGTCTATGTCCACTAGTGACAACAACCGAAAAACCTGCATGTAAGTTATTTTTTGTTGAGATAAAGGAGGTGTCAAGAACTCTATGACCAAAGAGGATATGCTACCACAAACACACATGCACACCAACACACACAACAACAGCAATGACAGCAACAGCACATAGGTATGCATTTAATCATTTAACTTACTCTAGAACAATTGTATTGACTGTTAGTGTGCTTGCATTTCATTGTCACCTTTAGCCATTAGAGCTTTACAAATGGTCTGTATGTTTGATTACAGTTACTATTCTCACTGTATGTACCCATTATTATTATAACTGTGATATAAGTCAGCATATGAATAAAGGACACACTGTTCTTTTATCCTTTTCACCAGCACCTAGTGACAGATATAAACCACCACACACATAATTACAGTATATACACACAGATGTTTAGACATAAGTCAGGATCTCTTAGAGGCTTTAACTGGTTCCACAGACAAGTTTACTAGTTTTTAAAGGAGTATGATATTTTTAGCCATCTCTGTCAGCGGTGAGTGAATCTGCACAGGCACATGCACAAGTAGAGACAGTAATGCACTGAGCAACGGGTTCACGAGTTAACAACCATTAACTCACACTCATAAACACAAGAAGGGAGGGAGGAGATGCAATGCAGTTTAACCTCCATTCATCACAAAGACAAATAATGACTGGCCTCCCACCCAACAAATGGCCGCAGCAGATGGACTGAATAAAGTGACATAATAGTTATACAAACAGCAGGCCCCCTCGAGTTTCAGAGCAGGCAACAGAACCTGCTCTTCATCCGGAGGCCCTAGGAATGCTGCCCCACAACCCAGCAGAAAATAAACCAAAACTTCTGACTCGGTGACCAGCAAACACCTTCATCTCCTGCACTTAACCAGAACACTGATCCTGCAACCTTTGACCCCTCAAGTCCCTTCACAGTCAAGAGCCCAGAATGTCCGGTTTGTATATGTGTGTATATGTAATAACATGCCTGTTTTGGTTACACTTTTATTCCACTGTTCTTAAGCCAATAAGTCTATCCACAACATAACTTCAAAATATTTGAGTATTGAAATTTGAACTTTTAAGTAGGACCAACAATAATAAGAGGTGGGCTGCATTTACATTTACCATACAGTATAAACTACTCAAATATAGCCCACATACCGTATGTGAGTAATTGTGCACTGCCTGATGTGATGCAACAGTGCTATCTTCTGTCCAGAAGAAAAACTGCAAGACTGCAGCAAGTTGATCCGCTGTCAATGTGGTCCCCTTTTTCTTTTCTTCTCTTATCCATCTTATGTTAATAACCTGCTGATTCACCTGAATCAATAAACTCTTTCTTCTGATCAATAACTTTTGTGCATGTATGTTTTTAAGTTGGCTGAAAACCCACCTACATATAGCATTTACCAAGGCAGTGAGCCTGAATTTTCTGTTGAACAATATATATAAAAAAAGCCTCTTTCAGCCCACACCTTCTCTCCTCCCTCTACTTTCTTTTTTCCCACTGCTTTATCCTCACCTGGCACACTCCTCTAATCCTTCCCCTTTGTTGTGCTTCAGCCAAGCTCACACCTTCTTTGTGTAATTGCTTGCTTGTTCGCCTATATTTTTTCACTCACACTTCTTTTATCACTGCTTTGTTTTTTCTCCCCTGTCTTTTCCATGTATCCTCCCACCCTCTGTGCTTCTCAGTTTTTGTGTCTCCTCACTCCTCTCATGACATCTCCCTCCGCCTCACTCTGCCTCTGTCTGACGTCATAGTAACCGCAGTGTAAGATTCAGGGCTTGCTTGACAGTGCACATCATTCTATCAGAAATGACAAAGACAGCCAGATAGATGAATACAAGAGGAGGTGGAGGAGGGGAAAGAGGTGGCAGAGAGAGCCTGAACCAAACCTACATCACTGTGAAATGCAGGGTGGATACACCATTAAGGCTCTTTGGCCAGCAAGCTGTGGGCAAGGTCGGTGTAAGCTGCAGCATTTTTAATGATGTGACTCACTGTGGCATGGTGCAGCAAACTGAGCATGCAAGCAATGACCAAGGATTAGAAACAGAACAGTACCATACTGATGTGTCAGAGGGCACAGACAGATGGGAAGGGGTTTAGACAACATCTGCTTTCATGTACAGTGTATGCATGCACCTACACACAGAGACAGGAGAACAGCTGATTATTTGGTTCTAATGTACATTTAGCCTGACTTACACTAAACTAATGTGATGCAACACAGAGTGCTTTCCCTTACGGCCAGCTGGTATAGCACTTGAGTACAAATCTGCATATAATATCTGACGTGTGTGTTTGTATGTGTGAGTGTGTGTGAGGGCTGGTTAGTGTGTGGAAGTGGAAGATGGAGGCTTGTGGGTGCTGCCATAAAGAAAACATAATATACAACACGCTATAAAGTCTTCATTTCAGTGGCTGAGCCATAACAAGCATAACAATGTGAAGAAGCTTCACTGCACTAGAGACATCTTGTGGAGCAGCAGTGTAAAAGCAATTTGTTGTAAAATCATTCATAAGTAAAACAATTTTACACAAAGTTCAAAGTTTGAGTCATAGAACCAAATGAGTGACAGTGTGTGTATTAGCTCCAGCTGAAAAATATAAGCAAGCATGCCACTAAGCTAACACTTTTTAGTGGCCTAACACCAGATAAGTTTTTTAACCATAGAGTATGTGCCTTAAAACTGTTCCATGAAATATTGAAGACCATAGTTTTTCACACAAGCTAAAGCTTTTTCCTCTTATTGCCAGTTTGTTAAGGACATATCTTTATGAAAACTCATGACTCAAATGGTTTAACTTGTCATTCAAAATGTCAAATAAATGCAATCAACAATCATCAGAATGGACTCAGACTTCCATGGCTGGGGTGGGCATAGTGTCTGATATTGATCCTGATTTCATGTCACATTATAATTAATACTGTAGTAACTTGTGGCTGGTTAATGTTTGTGCTGGGATATATATGAGGCAAGGAATGGGAAAATGAATAAATTATTTTATGCACATATTGTATTTCTTATAAACAATTATGAACAATAAGATATTAACCTATAACAAAAGTTACAAATTATTTATGACAACATGCAAGGAGATCCATGCCTAGTTCAAAGTCAAGTGTTTATTGTCATATGCACAGTGAGGAAACATGTTTCCCTGTACAATGAAATTTTTACTTTGCCGTCCACACGAATGCCACACAATATAAGTGAAACATAACGCAGATACATAGGTAACACTAAATCTAAATCTCAAAATCTATGGCAAGTAAAACAGCCGATGAAAGAAGCACAATGAAAAATACAACAAGAACACAATATAAAACAGCCAATGAAGGAAGCATAATGAAGAATACAGCAAAAACACAATATACTGAAGAGAGAATGTATGCTACATCGGAGCAATGTGATGATGAGTATATAGGAAAGAGAGAGAGAGGGAGAGAGAAAGTGAGAAAGAGAGTTAATCCTCTCCTTCCTCAGGAGCCTATAGGAAAGAGAGAGAGAGGGAGAGTGAGAGAGAAAGTGAGAAAGAGAGTTAATGAATGGAAAAAAAACATGTCGTGCGCCTACGTCAGCTATCCCTATGCGGAAGGATACCTTCACTGAGAAGTGTAGTTCCGGGATCAGGAACTATTTCTCAGATTGAAAAGGGAAAACCTTAAATGGTGTAGGGATACGACGGAACTATACGGCTTAAGCAGGTGCCAAACAACAGGGAGATCTCAAGCACAAAACGAATGATGGTCTAGCATATGGTATTTTCCAGTTTCCACCGAACGAAGACACGTCCTCCACAAACCTTAATTCTGTGCTTTCACTAGAATAATGTCACGGTAAGTTATGCGAGCAGGCTATTGCATGTGTTAGCTAAAATCTAAAGGATAACGTTAGCATGTATAGCTCACAGCTGACAACTCTAACTGAATAACGTTACATTGGTCGCTGAGAAACATGTTAGGAGTTTTAATAATTCTTAAACGTATCTCATTGTTACACGGGACGTTTTTATGTTTTAAGCATATACATTAATATAACGTTAAATGCAGTCGGCCAAACATGTTTGCTTTTGAAAGATTGAATAACGTTATTGCTAATTTTCTAATGTTGCTCTGTTCACTGCACGTGACGTCAGCTGGGGTTTGACGTAACGTTAATTTAGTTAATGTTGAACATTAACGATGACGTTTTATTTTCTGTATGATCGTGACATGCAATGGATGCACTCTTACGTGCAAGTAGTCAGAGTACTTTAACTTCGATTGATATTTTGCTTCAGGTGTCGATATGAACAACTGGGCATAACGTTAGCATTTCAGCATAACTTTATGATCTTTGTCTGGTTTAAAAACCTGAATTACTGACTAATATGTACTGTTATGCTGTGTGTTCTCTTACTATAATACCAAATCATGTTGAGTCACTTGTTGCTGTTTGTAAATTTGTTTTATGGCTTGTTGCAAATAAATCTTCAGTGCTGTAGACAGCTCAGCTTGAAACCAGAATGACAGTAACTGCAACATGCACAAACTGAATTATAATAAGAACTTTTCTCTGCTATTGTTTAAAGTAGTGTTTTTGCTTTGTAGTCAAATGCATACACATTTTGTCTGTGGAGCAGGATGTTGCTCTTTGCTTTATTATAGTAGGGTGTTGACCACTGTGTGTAAACACAGGTGAGCTCAGCCCAACCCGAACAGATCTTGTATTCTGAGTAAAATGGAAGGTCTCCCTGTTATAGGCCGAGCCAAGCCCTCTAATAAATCACCAGAAATAGTTTGGTTTCATGATGGTGTTTCTGGGAGTTTCTTTCTTGGAAGCACGTGACCATAAGGGGATTATAATTTCAGAGAATTTGCTTTCACACTATTGACAACAGGAACTATAATCAATGGAGGTAGGGTTTTACTGTGCCAACTAAAAGCAATTCATTGTCTTAACTGATGCTTTGTTGCCCGGTATACACATTTAATTTGTAGGCTACTCATTAAAATTGCAGTTTCTAATCTGGATTATATGATGATGTACTGTATACTGTCCACAGTCAAAGACATTTTTAACAAACTAAATTTGTATATCTAAAAAGAGGGAAACTCTGCTCAGTGTGGAGTTTATGCTTATCATAAAACGCTATTGTCATTGTTAAGCTGCAGATTGTTTTTTGTACAATCGTTTGGTGTACAAAATGTCAGCAAAGTTTAAAAAAAGAAATTCCCATCAATATTTCACAGAGCCCATGGCGACGGCTTCACTTGACTTGTTGTCAAACCACCAGTCAGCAACACACTATTGTACAGTTACATGACAAGCTGGTGCTGTTGGGCATTTTTGTTTAAAAATCGACTTGATCAGTGAACTGATTAATTGACTTATCATTCCAGGTTTTACTTGCTTGTTTTTGCTACAGAATTCTGCAGTTAACAAGATTATCAATATGTGCAAGAGTTGGCAGGAGGGCTTCTGTCATGTTGGTTTTCTTGGCAGGTGATTAAATGGTTTCTTGTGAGGTAGTAGCTCCAAAATCCCAGTATTCCCTTGAGCTAAACATGGTGTAAGCCTGAACGTACTTGGCCATCCTCCAAACCTCAAATTGATTTTTCATCTTTCTTAAGTCCTAAATCCCTCTTCAGATGGTTCAAGGCAGTGGAAGAGCTGAGAGACTTTTTAGGAATCTTCTGAAGTGTTATTCCCATGGAGTGGCCTATCATTGCAGAAAGTTAAAGAACATAATGATATCTTACTTGTTATTAGCATTCCAAATTCTCCCCCCCTTTTCTAAGGCTTTACTACTGTAGGTGCTTTGTCTCTGATTTAAACATGTTATTTACAATCCAGTAATCAAGGGATTATTCCAGTGATTATTCTGTTTGTTCTAAGTATCTATGGATAGCAGTGCATCTGCTTTTTTGGTACCAACTTGCAGCTTTAATATGTGTTGATATGTAGCACATGTTTTGAAAACTGTACCAATCTGTGGTCATGCAAGTGTGTAGAGCAGCCTTTAAGATAACAGTCTCACTTGAAATTGTGTTAAGTGTAAGTTGAATGAAGGCTGTGTAGGTATCATGTCAACTGAAATTTAGCTAGAATAGTGACAAAGTGTCATTCATTTATCAGCTGACTTGATTCATTATTTTTAGACCACATCATAATTTATTTCATTACTGTCCTGATGACCAGCTTTATATTTTCGACAGTTTTCTATAGGGGTTGTCTTACAATAAAACAGGTTTTTAAATGAGATGGCACAATAAAAACATACTATCAATAGAAGTCTGTGTGTGCATTACACGCCCTTTGTTTTGACGTAATTATAAAATTATTGATCTGTTGTTTATTGGCCATAAATCTTTATAGATTTAGTGTACAACAGAAGTTGATTTTGGGGCCTCTGTATTTGAAAGTTATTTTCAACAGCTGTACTGAGTGATGGTTTTTCAGAAAATTGTTATGATGTAGGTTTTGCTACAAAAATAAGATTAAATTGACATGTAAAAAGCCATTCACTAAAGAGACATGAATTTTTTTTTGTTGTCATCTGAAAGTATTCTCACAGAATGTCTGTTTTGCCTCAGGATCCCTACTATCTGCATGAAAACACAGTTAAACTAAACAATTAGCCTCTGGTAAGAAGTACAGCAGTCATGTGGCCATGGGAAGAGACACAAGATTATCTCTGGTTTTTTTTTCTCTCAGTATCTTTTCCTTGCTGACTTACTGCAGTTGTGAAGAACCTCTAAACTGATTAGTTTTTAGTAGTGCCAGAAGGAGGAGCATTGCTTTGTTGCAGTACTGCCCATGGACTGTCCACAATCCAAAAGTATTCCACCAACCTTTCATCTTCCTCTGGTTTTCCTTTCTATAGAGTGGCTCTCATCTGTTGACCTCCTTTCTCCAGAGTGACTGTGTCCTCTGCATATTGAAGCTATTCATTCTACTCACAACAATGTCAGGTATAGACTTGCATACATTTGGTGTTAAAAACTCATAATTTGATGAGGGGTATCTGTAGATTTGTTTCTGGTTATCAGCAAAACGTGTCTACTAATACTCACTTTGGAATACTGGAATATTATGAATGGTTTTGTTTCATATTATATTAAGCACAGGAATAAATGCCTTATTAGTTTGGATGTATATCAACAATTTGTCATTTTAGCCTGCTTTATTATTCTCTATTAGTATGTATCATATCTCCTGTTTTCCTAATTTATGGTTTGTTCTCTGTTTAGGTACCTACACACCAGCCCCTGGTGGGCCATTCTCTGCTCTCACCCCTAGTATGTGGCCCCAGGACATTTTGGCCAAGTACCATCAAGTGAGGATGTGATTTCATTTCTTGTCTTTATGCAAACCTTCATAATAAGTGTTTCTGTTGTTTTGATGACAATGTATTAAGAAAGAAAATAGTGACTGTTTTGGAAAGAGAGAAAAAGTGCATGTAAAATAAACTCACTGGCCACTTTCTTAGGTACACCTTTACAATTCAATGCAACACTTCTGCCTTAACATCTGTGTTAATGAAGCTCCGAATTTTTCAGTTTTTGGTGAAATGATCAAATTCAATTGTATGTTTTATTATTGAAGTCCTAGTTAAAGGTAACAATTGACTGTCATTAGAAAAGCTGCCGTGGCCATCTTCAGCAGTGTCACTTCTTTGAGATACGGACTAATGAAACGCACATTATATGTTTGTCTCTACAGAAAGACTCTACAGAGCAGTCTCAACTTCAGTATGATGAATTTGGCTTCAGAGTGGACACTGAAGGTGATGTGTTACTCACATGGACACAAGCAAACGTGTGCTCCTTACTCTATCCCCACTCCATTTTCCCATAAAATTCGTGAATCCCAGTCTTATACCAGAAATGGGAATCTTCATATCTGTGCACAGTGGCTACATTATGTATACAAATTTAATGCCAGAGTACTTTTTTTTTTTCTTGCTAATGGGGGTAAAATATGGATTTAACCGTTTTTAAGCATTAGTACTTTAGTTCAAGACCTGTTATAGAGTAGTGGTTCAGAAGACTCTTTTTCTGTGCTTAAATTGTTCAGTTTAAGACTTGACCAAACTAAATTAGTTGTCAGAGTGACATAACGCGCATCATTAATCTCACACTTTACCTTCATTTACCCCCTTACTACTTCATGTGCGCTTCATGTTCATTTGGTAAAAATGTCTTCCTTTTTGTTTCATGCCTCCATCATGCTTGGTTGCATTACAACTGTACTTGCAAACATTTTCCAGTGTTTCATTGTCCTCAATTCAAGAGGCTGGATAGGACTTGCTTATGTTAACATTATGATTGCAAAGACAAAACCTACCAAATCCTGACAAATTATTCTCTCTCAGATGGAGAACCCCGGTCCTGGCTAGGCACTGAAGGCTCACCCCAGCGTGAAGACCCCCAGCAGCGATTGCGCTGGCAAGCCCACCTGGAGTTCACCCACAACCACACAGTAGGTGACCTGACCTGGGAGCTCATTGATCCCGTCCTTCCACGCTGCGAGCGTCTGCGCTCTCTGGTGCTAGGGGGCATACCCCACAGCATGAGGCCACAGGTAAGCAGACTTGCAAACGAGTGATGTCAATTGTTTGTGACACTGACTAGAAGCGGGATGCATTTGGCTAAAATACTCTCCAAGATGGCCTTACTCTTTGATTTTAAAAAGTGAATTAAAATACAGTTAAGCCTGTGGTCAATAGTGTGTTACAATTTCCTTGAAGTATTATTTATATTTAGTCATTCTTTAAGGATAAAAAAAACAAGCATAAGAGCTTTAAAGACTATCTGTGTGTTAGCTCTGGATGCGCCTGTCTGGAGCACTGCAAAAGAAGAGGACCTCTGAGATCTCCTACAAAGAAATGATTAAGAACAGTTCCAATGATGACACCATCATAGCTAAACAGGTAAATCCAGAGCTACATATGTAAACAAACACAGTCCCATTGCAGTTATGCTGCCTTCTTGAGAACATGCCTCACTAATATTGGAAACAACTTCTTAAATGGAATTGAATCTTCATTGGTATAATGTAATGTCAAAGATAAAATATTAGTTTGTCATAGACTGCATAAATCCTGTACATCCTCAAAATGCAGAGGAAACTAATAATCTGCTTTAGACCTACAATATAAGTGCATGATGTCACTGTCACACTAAGCAGTAGTTTGCCCTGGTGCATTCACACTAGAGCCACTGTGCAATCGATTGCACAGTCAGATTTAGTAAGAAGTCAAGACCAACTTGAATTTGCTTTGTCATTCAGTAGTGGAGACAGGTAGTACTATGAGAAGAAGTCATTTATTTTCACACTACCATACATGGAGACAAACGGATTAGATCTCAGATAAGAGTGCTCATATTACATTATTACTGTTTTTATTTTTAATCTATAGCTCTTCCATTTCTTAATGTTCTTTGTAATCGTGATGTTGTTCCTTGTTCTTCTCTGTCTCAGATAGAGAAGGACCTGTTACGGACCATGCCAACCAACGCGTGTTTCAGTAGTCTGACCAGTGTTGGAGTTCCAAGGCTAAGACGGGTATTGAGAAGCCTGGCCTGGCTCTACCCAGACATTGGGTATTGTCAGGGTACTGGCATGGTGAGATATACAGTGCATAAAAATTTTTAATATCACCATAAACAACTACATTACACCAGCCACCTAACTCAGGATGCACAAAATGCATTCACACTTTGTTTCTAAATTGTTTACCTGTAATAGCACTGTCATCACCTGTACATCATCCTTGTATTTTGCTCTTTTCTTTACTCCTACCTTTGTCTTCTCTCTCCTCCCCTTTTCATTGTCTTCCCCACTCTGGTCTTGATACCCTCAGGTGGTTTCCTGCCTGCTGCTCTTTCTTGAGGAGGAGGATGCATTATGGATGATGTGTGCCCTGATTGAAGACCTCCTTCCTCCATCCTACTTCTCCTCCACTCTGCTGGGAGTCCAAACGGACCAGAGGGTTGTCCGCCAGCTTATTGTTCAATACCTCCCGGCCCTCGACCGCCTTTTGCAGGAACATGACATAGGTTAGAATGAAAAAGTAACAGTTATTGGGAAAGCTAGAGAGTGTGGTGCATGGAGACAGAGAGGCACGGCCATCCAATGAAAGTCAGATTATAAATTCTCTTATTTTAAAGAAAATATTAGTTGAGATTAACCTGAACCTGTCTAATTGTGTTGGTGAATTTCATCTTCTGACTTGGTTGGCATGTGGACTATAAACTGCCTATAGTATTTAATCCTTTTCTTTTTATATATCCAGAGTTGTCATTGATCACGCTGCACTGGTTCCTGACATCATTTGCCAGTGTGGTGGATATCCGTCTGCTCCTCAGGATCTGGGACCTGCTCTTCTACCAGGGCTCACTGGTGCTCTTCCAAGTCACACTGGGAATGCTCAAGCTCAAGGTATTGCACTGTATGCAGTCACCTATTTGCTTTTCTTTGTTAAATGACAATAGTGATAGCTTGTATTTGTCCAAAAGCAATAATATAGTGATTTGTGCCACAGACATTATATACTACAACAGCTAGAAACCATCCCAGGCAAACTGTTTACCAGCTACTCTTCACTATAAAAAAACTTTATCCAGCATGTTGAGTATTAATCCATGTGAAATGTACTTCCCAACCACAGGAGGAGGAACTCATCTCATCAGAGAACTCGGCTTCTATTTTTAATACTCTGTCAGACTTGCCTAGCCAGCTGAGAGATGGACCTGCAGTTCTTGGTGAGGCTATGAGGCTAGCAGGGTCACTGTCCCAGGAAACTTTGGAAGCCCACCGACACAAGCACCTAGCCTACATCCTAAATGAACAAGCGCAGATCAACAATGGAAACAACACAACACTCCACAACAACACCAATCTCAACAAGGTCAGTATGTCTACTCTGTTAGCAGGAAAAAAAAAAGTGCTGGCATACCAGTGATTTTTGTCAGAGACTAACAAAGTATTGTTCAGCTTGTGTTTTAGTTGTGCTAACTAGTTATGTTATTTGAACACATCGGGTCCATTCCAAATAAAATAAATAAAACAAATGCCATTCTCTGTATATGTTCAGGTGGTGAGGAGACAGTCCATGCGCAGAAAGTCCACCCTGACCTCTTTGCTGTTTGGGGAAGATGAGGCAGAGGCCCTAAAGTCCAAGAACATTAAGCAGACAGAGTTGGTGGCTGCCCTTCGAGAGGCCATAGCCCACATAGCAGAGCACTTCCACTGTTTGGACCCTTGTCACTCCAGCACTGTGAGTTCACACACTGCAGCACAGGAACAGTGTGGTTCATGTCTTGTTGTGGACTATGAATCCGCCAATATATGAAGAGCTTTAAGAGAGATGTATCTTCATTTGGTGGCATGTCAGACTAAAAGGTTTAGTGGTGGGTTTAAGGCTGTAAGACTGAATTGTAGCAATTAGTATAAATGGTTATTAAACTGACAGCACTCAGAGAATGTAAACTTCTGCCAAGGCAGCTCACTTTACTCATAATACCATTACATCTAAAAACATTATTCTCATGGTAGTTTGACCTTCACATTATGATTCTGTGACCACGGAAACCTGCCCCTGGCATTTGGACTCACATTGATATTATTATTATTATTTTGAAAGCTATTGAAGAAAAACAATATTTCAGTAATGGTGGCTTTCTTCAGGATTTAGCTCATTAACCTTTGAAGATGCATCAAATCTGCTAACATGTTTCTGAATCAGCAGAATTTCAGCTAGAAATTGATCTTAGTTACAAGTGTGTAGCTTTATTTATTTTTTTTGTTGAGTGACAGTAGCGAGTTTTCCATGAGCTCTATAAATTTGAACATTCTGCATTGGCAGATTGGGAATATTACTTGGATCCAGATCATACTTTGGAGTGTGGTAGATCTTATGTGAGCGTTATCTTGGAATTTTTGTCCAAGCATTGTAGACATCTCACACTGGTGAAGGGGAAAAAAAAACTCTGATCCGGATCAGCACCAAAATCTAATGTATTGTTCTGTACATACCCTACCTCTCCAAAAAATGTTATCACAACCCATTCATTATCTTTTGAATTATGCTGTGAACTAACCAACAAAAGTTGATTTGATTTATTCTTTCAAACATGCAAAACAGAACAAATGACAGCAACACACACATAGTTACACATATCCAACCAATGCTAATCCAAACTCAGTTTGCTTACACCTATTACATGTTTGAATGGAGTAGGAAGAAGTCAGACCTATCCAGTCCTACCCCATAACATCATATTATACAAAAAATTTCATGCATCATTGGCTGCAAGCAGTATCTCTACATAGGTAATTGCCTTCTTCACCAACAAGTAATACACAGAACACGATGACGATGAATTGGGCTTCAGAAAGTTGGTAAAAACACTACTTCCACCTCGGTGGAGGTAATAATTTCATATATTTTGATGTGACTTCTCCCATCTTGTCTCCTAAGAACCTGACTCCTGACTACTCCATGGAGAGCCACCAGCGGGATCATGAGAACTTCCTTGTTGTGTCCCGCAACCGGCGACGACGGGCGAAGGCTCTGCTGGACTTTGAGCGACACGATGACGATGAATTGGGCTTCAGAAAAAATGACATCATCACGGTCAGTCGTGATTTATACAGACACACAAGCAAAACATTACTTCTTGTTTTAAATCACTGTACATAATCCCTCCATCTTTGATTCTTCTTCTGGTTCACTGTGTTTTTAATCTCCCTCAGATCATCTCACAGAAGGATGAACACTGTTGGGTTGGAGAGCTCAATGGACTGAGGGGTTTGTGCTTTTCTTATGCATCAACACTCACTCTTGCCATAATTGATTTGTCAGTGGTCTGTTTCACAGTATATACTATGGTTTGACCTGTTACAGGTTGGTTTCCAGCAAAATTTGTGGAGATCCTAGATGAAAGAAGCAAAGAGGTATGGATGTAGTCGTGTTAATTGTTTAATAAGGTAAACTTCTTTGCTTAATAGTAAAAAGTAATTGCCTGGTTTGCATAGCACATGTTGCTTAGAATGTTCAATCCATGTTCAGTTTTTATATTCACCTTCTAGCATCATGAATGTTAATTCATAGAATGTCCTTCACATTGGCCGGTGCTCTTCTGTCTGCTCCCAGTACTCATTAGCAGGTGATGATTCTGTGACAGAGGCAGTGACAGACCTGGCCAGAGGCACATTGTGCCCAGCACTGAAGGCCATCTTTCAGCATGGTCTCAAGAAACCATCTATACTGGGAGGGCCCTGTCACCCTTGGTTATTCATAGAGGAGGTGGGAGAGCTTTGTTTAAAATCTATTTTTATTCCCTAATGGCATATTTTGCACACATTTTTGTATAAAATTCAGCATATCTGTCCTCGGGTTGTCTCTCAGGCAGCCAGTAGAGAAGTTGAAAGAGACTTCAACTCTGTCTACTCCAGACTGGTGCTGTGTAAAACCTACAGGTAAAACACAGACATACACACTGATGGTGGTTTTCTTTTGTTCTGTCAAACTGTATATTTACCCCAACATTTAATACGTGTATGAGGTATTGCAAAACTTCTCCAGGTGTGGTCAGTTTACGCTTGGCTCCCATTTGCTATGGTTGGGAAATCATTGACTGTACAAACAGTGGATAGGCTCAGAGTTCCAAGGAGCGAAGCCACCAAAACTCGATCAGCTGGTGGCTGGTTGCAGTATAAGTCATAAATCCTGCCTCCTCCATGTTAGCAGATGGGACATGAGCCACACTAAAAACTCAAAGTACAAATCAAATACATTTTGCCCAGAAGTCAGTTCTGTGGTTTTGGTAGATATTATCACGCTGATATGTGTACGAGTGGTCATTTTTCTGGCAAGTTTGTTTTTAATGAGTCAGTTGATGTTCTAAAAAAAAAGGTGCATTTCAGTTGATTTTGACTGGTGGTCCGATGCTGTCACTCCACTCCTGGTCATTACTGCAAAGAATCTGGTTGCAAAAAAAAGCAAGATGGCCCAGAAGTCAGTTCTGTGGTTTTGGTAGATATTATCACGCTGATATGTGTACGAGTGGTCATTTTTCTGGCAAGTTTGTTTTTAATGAGTCAGTTGATGTTCTAAAAAAAAAGGTGCATTTCAGTTGATTTTGACTGGTGGTCCGATGCTGTCACTCCACTCCTGGTCATTACTGCAAAGAATCTGGTTGCAAAAAAAAGCAAGATGGTAGCCACTGTTCATTCATGATATTTTGGCTTCATTTTTGCATAGCGGAGGGGAGTGGTGACACCATGTCCATCATATAGATGTCAATGTGGGAAACGAGATTTTTAAAAAAAATTTTTTTTTAACTTCGGTTAAGGACATAAATAGCAGACTGGCCTTTGTCTGCATGCACAGTAAAATCCTGTGTTTTGGCCTGGGATGAGACATCGACTCTTAAAGGATAAAGCCAACATTTTTAAATGTTTTTACTATTGTCCATATATAAAGCCAAGAGTCAGCTACATGTGTGTTCTCTGCCCTGTGTGTCGACACAGTGTGTAGCTGGAAGAGTTAGCAAAGTAGTGTGTACAGAGCAGATATGACGTGCACACACACTGGACTCTTTTACACTTAAAGTGTAGAAAGTGATAGCTTGGAACTCTTTTTGAAAAAAGATAGACGAGAGGATGAAACATGAAGTAGAGCAGTGTGGCTCACTGGTGTGTTTTTAACAGTTTTTGGACAACAGTGGAGTCTCAGCACAGACGAATAAGCTAAACCAGGTTCTGGATTTACATGCAACATGGGGAGTGCACAGATTCATTGTTGGTTTTAGTCACTGTATTGGATGTTTTGAAAATCACAAAAACACAGCAAATCACTGGCTGGTCTTTATTCTTCAGTTTACACATCAGAGATTTTCTCTGTTCAGCATTGTAAAGAAATGACTCATTGTCTTTGACATTTACCAGGTTGGATGAAGATGGGAAAGTACTAACACCAGAGGAGCTGCTCTACAGAGTGAGTGACTATTTTATCAGTATGTGTGTGTATAAAATACCATTTTAAAACGTATTTAAACGCTTCCAACAAGAAGTAATGTTTTTTGAAAGTAATGTCTGTCTGGAGAGACCTAACTATGTCAGTAGAAAGTGCATGAGCACCCCCTTTCTGCTCTTCCTAGGCAGTGCAATCAGTCAACATGAGCCATGACTCTGCACACGTTCAGATGGACGTCAAGTTTAGGTCTCTTGTCTGCATTGGTCTCAAGTGAGTTTTCTGGGCTGATACACACAGAATTTAAGTCCTCACAGTCATTCTCTACATGGAACCAGGGAGTAGAGGCTTACAAATCAGAATGTAAATTATGAAAATAAAAGCCTGCTGCACACAGTCGATCTGTTTGGTTCATAATGTGTCTGTCCCTCCAGTGAGCAAGTGTTGCACCTGTGGTTGGAGGTGTTGTGTTCCAGCATAGCTGCTGTAGAGAAATGGTATCATCCATGGTCGTTCCTTCGCAGTCCTGGATGGGTACAGATAAAGTGTGAGCTCAGGTAAGAAACACATGCCTGTAAAACTGCAGTCTCTCTTGATTCTAGCTGTTTCTGTCTAGCTCAGCCAGTGTACGTTTTGAAATGGTTCAGTATGGAAATTTTGACCAAACAAATCAACAGTGAATAGGCTTTGGCAATATTAAACTTACCGTGTGTTACATTTTCTACACATTATTCTTTCATGTTAAACTATCAGCAAATGTATAAAAATGAGTTAAGCAACAGACCAAAAATAAATAAAAGTGGAATTTATGGATCTATATAGACACATGATCTGACCAGCCTCTTGTTATTTCTTCAGGGTCCTATCACAATTTGCCTTTAGTCTTTCCCAAGACTGTGAACTGCCTGACAAGAAACAGGTGAGCAAAGCAGATCACCACAGCATCCTCATGGATGTGCTGGTTCAGCATCACCTCATTAGTTGTGATCGCTAGGTAAAATCATGTATGAGGCCGTAGATGCTATAGTATAATAATTAGTTATGCTAGTTTACTTACTTGCTGATTTTAGATGCCCAGTCAAACAAATCATCTCTCTAGTTTGTTACATATTTTTCGTTTCTGTAATAGTATTGTATATATTTTGCATCTTTGTGCCCCTTTCTGACATTAAGCAGTGCATCAGATGCACTGCTAATATAGTGTTGGTTTTGTCCTTGGGTAAAAGCTTTTCCACATTTTCTTTCTTTTTCAGGAGAAGGAGCAGAGACCGCTGAAGGAAGGGGTGCAGGACATGTTGGTGAAGCATCACCTCTTCAGCTGGGACATTGATGGCTAGAGACGCAGCATAACCCAACTGTCCTGTGTGCCTGTATATATATTTGACCTCGTCACCCATTTCTTGCAGACTGCCAGTCATAAGACACCCTTGTCTGCAACAGTAAGTGACCACAGACCCTATCTGTCACCTCGCCTTTCAGCATCCAACAGTGAAATCCTAATAATGATAAAGGCTGAGTGGCTTCTATGTGCTGAAGCATGTGTGCATTAAGATGCATACTTTAGTTTTATTCAGCTCCAGTATAAGAGGTTAAATGTCATGGCTAAATCTATATAAAGCTATACTGTAGTACAGAATAATCTGTACCCGATGGACTGAAACACTTAAGAAATACTTAAGTACTGACTGGCTGTTCAGCTTTTTATAGCTGAGTGAGACCAACAGTCTATTTTCTTGCATCTCTTATGTGTCTACATCAAAGCGGTAACCAGGTGATCAGCACGACAAGCACTGGGCTTTTCAACATTGTCCAAAGTTCCACATTACCCTGTAAATTCCCAAATATTAAGACCAAAACAGAACATTCCTAAACTGAATCTGTAAATCTACAAATTATTTTTGAGAGGAATGCTACTTATCTCAATACCATGAATTACACAAAATATTTAATTAAATACTAATGTTGCACATGCCAAGCAAAGCCTTTTCAATTTGTGAACCAAGACTATGGGTATGTGCTACCTTAACAATGGTAGTGAACAGTGTATGACATGATGTAAATGAAGCAGATAAATACTTTTGTGTTACAATCTACAGTAAATAAATGTTGCATAAACATGTATGATCTGTCGACTTTTATCGGTCTTCCAAACTGAACTCTAGCTCTGACTTAAAGCTGCACATACATTAGAACACAGGGTTGCCAATTTGTATATTATTCAAACTCTGTTGCTCATTCATGACAATGGTGGCTTTGAAGTGGGGACCTGATGGGGTTGATATGTGAACTAAACTTATTGTGTGATACACAGGAAGTTAAACTTTATTTCACTTGTCACGTAGTTAGTTTGTTGAGACTTACTGCATACAACAACAATGTTGTATTGTTTGGTTTTCCTGCCAAAACGATTCAAACTTGCTGGTGAACAAAAAACCTTCCAGTGGTTCCTTCTTTCCTCCTGTAATATATGGAACTAATAAAACACAACACTCCTGGCCTTAGTTTACAAACACAAGTTGCCATATATTTGATGAAAAGAACATGATCAATATCTTTTCCTGGTGAGTTACTCAAACCTAAAACCTTTTTCACTACAACAAATAGATTACATGGATTTAATTTTCTTTTTTTTTTTTTTTAAGCAGCAAATTGTTTAAAATGTCACATCATGTTATCAGCAACATGGGGGACTAGAGTTACATGTAGCACTGAAAGAACCACCTGTTGAGACTGATGAGATCATGAGCTGTATTTATACATGGATGATTGACGGAGAAAGCGTGATAGATACTATTGAATCTAAGAGTGCGGGGGTGGAAAGATGTAGAGTGTAAAAGTGTAAGTGGAAAGATCAAAAGTCAACGCTCTGCATTTAAACTCGATGAAGTAGTTATGTCCTTATTTTCCATATCCAGACTTTGAGATCATTACCTGCCCTCTGCTACATTCATTTGTGGTTTGCATACATTTTGTACAATGTCTTTCCAATCAGAGAATAACATCTAATTTTCATATGCAGTATAAATGGTACAGAACTGAATAATAGATCTGGTTTTCATTGCAAATGTACAGGGAATGTATAGGGTTTTGCTTGTAGCTGCTCATATTGGTACTGGACCTTTGTTTCAGGTTTAGCCTGGCTCCATTTCACTGACAGACGGTGAACTGAATTGTAGATTTCAGACATTAATTCAATAAAAAATAAAATTAAATAAATTATCATCCTGAGCGAGGCTAACCTCAGAATCCACACTGCTTCCATCACTCAAACCATTCAAAACAGTAAAGGCAGGTGACATTAAAATACACAAGGAGTATACACCTTTTCATTTGGGACATACCTCTTTGTGATCCTTTTAAAAATAAGTTATAGGACCTGCTGTAACAAGGCAAGGAGTAATAAGACTGAGGAGCATGTCCTTCTCTAAACATCCATACTCATGATTTGTGGAATGAAGACACTTGGTGGAGTGACAGCAGGGAGGGAGGGACAGGAGTGCAGCTCAGAATCCTCCTGTCCCTGATGAGGAGGCTGCTGCTGTAGAGTTGGTGCTGCTGTTCTGGCCTTTTCCTTTGTGCCTCTGGCCACCCCTTCTACGTCCACCTCCTCCAGACTTTGGCTTCAAAGGAGAGATGACAAAAACTTCATAAGGCCAAACTCGTATGCATTTGAAGTTTTTAACTAATAATGTAAAATGGTTATGATAAATGTCTGTCAAGAACCACATCTGGAACTCAACCATCTTGCATTGTAAAACACAATCTACACTATTCAGGTTTTCTACTGTTGTAGTTAACTTTGAATCAACCCATTTTACCTTGTTCTCTTTGTTGCCCTCCTTTATCTGAGGGTCTTCATCTCCCTCTCCCTTAGGAAGCCAGCCACGCAAGCAAAGGAGAGGGAGAAGGTGTAAAGGAGTGATGCGGTACGACAACAGAGTTTAGGATGAAATAATTCAAAATCAGAGCAGGGTGTTATGGGTGATGGATAAGAAGAAAAAAAGAGGACACAGAAGTTATTTAGTCAGAAAAGAACAGCCATGTTAGGGCAGAGGCAGGAAATCCAACATGAAATGCGAGGAAAGCAGTATAACAAACAGCACCATACACTATTTTTACAGTAAAATATTTGCATCATTCTTATTACTTGTGACTCACCAGTTGTGGTGTGTTTGGGCCTGCTGATTGTGCTATTGTCGCTACATCATCGCCAGCTGCCATGGTGCCATCCTCTTTTCGGAGTGCTGCCTTTTTTGTAGACTGCATTTTGATTTGTGGAGGTTTGGAATTTGATGGCAAGTTATTGGTGGACTGCAGCAGCTGAAGAGAATAAGAGTCGATGTATAAGCTTCAAAAAGAAAAATGTTATGTTTTTAATTTTCTGGGGGGTTTAATGCCTATTAAAACAAAATCTACCTAGCAGTCTGAAGCCCATTAGACAGATTATACAGTATTTCACCATGCCATGGAGAAGGTAAAATAATTACCACCAAGGCATGCCCTTTCCTACCATCAACAGTTTTACCAGTGTTCTGCTCCATTCTAGTAAATAATTTTCTTCTGCTCTTTCAACTTTTAAATGCATAACTATTGCAACTTTAGCTTACACTACTATGTAAGAATTGATATTCTTGGGATAATGTCCGTTCATCAGGGAAAAGAGCCTTCCCAGTATTTTCTTATGCTGGGGGAAATGGTCATCAGCATCACAGGTTTCCTTGAATAGAAATGAGATATTATACTGAAAACAACAAGAGCGCCATAGGGATGACTTTTTTTTGTTTGTTTTGTAGGCCAACCCAGAAGTTATTATCACCCTGGTTCCCTCAATAATAAGCCAATGGGGTTTCTCCATAAGCTTTTGGATTACTGGAAAAGAAACTGTGACAAGTGGTTTATGTATGACACTTATGTTTTGTTAAGTAGGATAAGTGAACACCATTTTGACTCACTACTGTGGCACTCCATTCCATCTAATTTAAAGATTTAGAACCTGATAAATTTGTGATAGTGGAGGGAAAAAAAAAAAATAAAAATCACGTGCATAATGTGGTACATCATATCCCTGTGTTAACTTTCTTCATCTTCTAGAAGGCTCTGCTACCTTAGTGATGGTCCCCACAGCCTTGGTGCGTCCCTCTCTGAACACCAGCCTCTGGTCACAGTGCAGGTATTCGGGGGTCTTGATGAAGCGGAAGTGGACTGAAGCCTTGTCCCCTGTTCGTAAGCAGTCTCTGTTCATGGACAGGATGGTGGCTGTCTGTCTTATGCTGCCACAGTGAACTGGGTAATGATTAGAAAGAAGATGAAAAAGACAACGGGTAAATGAGTTTATGCATACTGTAAAGCATCAGTGAGTCACTAACACGTGCGTGTGTACTTACTGTATGTGTCAGTACCACTGGTGAGTAATGACACTTGCTTTTTTTTTTATGGCTTTATTATTTCGCTCAAATTTGCAAATTATCCAATATAACAAATTATTTAATCTAAGTCACATTTCAGAAGTATTAAATGCCATTTGAAAACTTTGCTGCAAATCTTCAAGACATTGATATGGTGGAGAAACACTTTTATTGCACAACTCTTATGCATTTCTGATTCATCGGCTCTTGCAACTCTTATGCATTTCTGATTCATCGGTACCCACCCATGGCCTGGTATCTGGGGGATATCGTAGTTGGATGGTGCAATACCAGGATCTCTGCCTCAAACTCCCAAGTTGCCTGCGGGGTCAACCGGGGAGAAACCATCACCATGCCTTTCCTTATGGACGAACGCTTGATCTGTACGGGGTAAAGATGACAAAAGACACAGACAGAACAATACTGTTGTAAAATAACTTCTCAATTTAAGACCTTGCAGCTAAGACAAGGTTAGATGTGACCACACTGTTGACACAGAACCTTCCTACCAAAACAACAGTTACAGTACATACTTTGCATTTAGTGACCAGCCAGCCTAAGAATTTCTCACTAGATGGTTCAGTGGAACATTTTTTTTCCTCCTACCTTTTTTAGAGCAAATGAGGCAGTCTGGCCACCTCTAACCTCCTTCACAGGCATTCTCTTGCGATGGATTGATTTGACGGCAATGGGAATGAAACTGCCCAAGGGGTCCGGCCCCAGAAGCATGGTATCATTCAGACGTATGAGTCCACACAAAGTAGTTCCTGATACTACTGTTCCCACTCCCTGAGAAATAAACAGAACACAACTGGTCGTTTAGAAAGCATTTGCTAAACCTACCCTTAGCATGATATCCCAAGCAGTACAATGTGTTTAGTGATAAGAGTTTGTGAGCGGTCACAGTGTATGTACCGGTACAGAGTAGGTGTCGTCTATTTGAAACTCAGCGGGTTGGTCGTCTCGGTAGGAGGTCCTAGAGGAGAGCAGGTTGAGAAACATCTTGAGCAGGTCCATGTTCTCTCCAGTCACATTGGAGATCTGAAAGATGGGACACATCCTGGGGACACACAATACATACAGAAAGATTACACAGGAGCATTTTCGCTCTTACTCTGAATCTGGCTTGGACGACCTTAATACCTCTCTGAACTGAAGTTTGAAGCAGTGACTACGACGTCGTCCTTGTTCTGTACCAGGACAGGGATCTTCCTACAACCAGGGGACTTGAGTAACCTCTGGAGCAGCTTCAATGTCTCTGTTATGACCAAACATTGCAGATTAGCCAATAAATCCACACATGATGTGTGGAATGTTGTATAAGCTATGAGAGAGAGAGAGAGATACAGTAAAGGAACGGAGACTCCAGAAGACTAACCTTGCAAGATGTTGGCTGGACACATGTCTATCTTGGTTACAACTACAAACACGGGCACGTTCAGAGCTAAGGCCAGGCCTAAGTGCTCTTTGGTCATCCCTACAATGCCTGCATTACTGCCCACCTGGAGAGAGAGGGAATGAGGAAGTTTTATTTCTATACTTTAATGAAAGAAAAACATAGTTTCTATATTGTGGACACTGTATGTAGACTAAATTTATATTTGCGTTAGTCAGCCAAACCATTAAGGATTTTATCCAAAATCAAAATATTTTATGATCTATATAAATGTATATCTGTATATGCATAGCTATACACATGAACAGATACGGATAAAATACATGAAGTTTTTAGTAATATATGGCACCCGTTCATGATATTTACCAGCCTCAAGTCAATTTCCTATTGCCCAGACACAACCACAAAAACACCCCACCCTTCTGACCATGAGCATGCAGAAGTCGGGCAGGTGTCCAGTCATCCCAAACACGGTGGTCTTGAGGTACTTCTCATGGCCAGCCAGGTCTATAAAGGTAATGACCTTGGAGGACTTCTCACAGATTTTGGTCCAATCCAGGCTTCCTCCATGACTGTCTGGTTTGTTTACCACCTAGGGATAGACAGAGGGGCAAAGTTATATTCAACTTCCATCAAGGGAGACCTCACTGCTCTGGCACGTCTACCCCTCACCTGTCCCTCCTGGTCAAACCCCAGGATATCATTGCCCACACTGCTGGTCCTGCCACTCTCCATCTCATGCTTGTGTCTGAAGAGCTTCTGACGAGCAAAGCCCCTGCCATTGTCCAGCTCTCCGTGCGTTAACACTCCTAGTAGAGTACTCTTACCAGCATCCACATTACCCACCACTGCAACCCTGAGGGATACAGAAGTACCAAAATATCATTTGGTGCAGGCATAACTTCATGACTTGATATTAATGAAAATGGAATTAATGTAGTCCTGATCACCCAACACAAGCAGGATGTGCAATAGACCTTGTTCAAAATGAATTATAATATGGATTTTAACATCTGAGGGATAACATAGTAGGTGCCTGCAGAAAATGTGCTGGAAAGCCAGAAGAGCCCCTGAACTAATTCAACTACTGGACCATAATCCATCTTTATCCTGATCTCAGACCACTCACCTCACCTCCAGAAAGTCCAGTTCTCCCACACGCCGGCGGATCAGATAGTCACGTACCAAACCGGCAGCCTCGTTGCGCTCTCGTAGTGTGATAAGGTCTGCATCCAGTTGCTCACACATTGAGCGTACTGTGGCCGCTGAGGCCTCCATATCTTTCTCATCCAGACCCCAGTCCCCGCCATCTACAAAAAAAAAAATGGAGGGAGAAGAACATGATAAGAATGTATTTAAACAAGAAGGTCCTATGATTTGTCCTTGTACAGACTAACTGAAAAATAGACTAAAGGGAGAAAAAATTAGTTTCTCACCTGAGCCCATTCCAACCACATAGATGGTCTCTCCGCATCCCTCTTCCATTCTGTCCCGTAGCTGACGTAGTAACGAGTCATACTGGTCTCCATTTGGGCTAACAAGTGCTAGCTGTTTGGTTTCAGGCAGAGAGAGAAGGGGGGGAGGGAACATTGACTATTGTTGCTGTCCTGACTCTGGCTTGATCTTGTTCTAGGATTGAAATTGTTTATCCAGCTGATCTCAGTGGCATTTATTAACTGTTTAAAAGTTGAGGCTGATTGCATCAGATATGGTTGCTTTCAAGTGAGATGGTGATAAAATTTTAGATGAAACAACACATGACAATTTTTCCCTGTTCAGAACCACCTTATTCATACTGTAAGCCATTGTAGAAAATAAACACAGAGGGAATGGTAAGTTCAAAAACTGCTCTCCACACACAAACACAGCCGTCCCTCTTCCCACAAAACACCTTAGTGTTATACCTGAATGCTATATTATTATCTCTGCTTAAAGACCTTAAAAGCTTGATTATTCCAATTAGTAGCACAGTAAAACTACTTCAGAAACACAAGTAAAATAAGACCAAAAGTACTACTCTCACCACTTTATTCAGAGCAACTATAACAGAATTATTGCTGCTGTTTGTTTTCTTAAGTTGTAAGTTTTGGTTTTTATCCAGTCGTGCCTATAGATTATGGCTACAGTTCTGACTAAAATGATTTTTCATGTGAATGGTGATTTACTTTTTTGTTTCACTGTTAATTAGGATAAATACCGCTGTTGATATCTTATGAATAACATTGGCAGAAAGCAAATCAAAGTCCAGGTTTATAAATACAGTAACTACACTATATCTGACAGATAGTAATGAAACTGACAGGAGTCGACGGTGAGGTACTGCCTCCCTGATGCAACTCTGTGCAATCTGTTTGAGAGACATACACTGTAACACCACTGTAATGTGTCATTTGACCCTTCAAGACATAAACCTGATTGTTGACATCATAACAACAGTCTGGGTGCATAAGAGCTACTTTCAGTAAATCAGCAGTTTGCAGCCTGATGCTGTTTTAGCTCATAATGTAGCTATTGCTGATAGGTTTTCCCATTGGTAGTAGTCCTGCAGGACCCCCCCATTATTATTATTATTATTTTGTTGACCTGTATTGAATCCGCCTGTATAGGGTTATATATTTGATTATGCTTTTGTAAAGACGTTACCTCACCATGTCAACTCGGTGTAGCATATGGCGGAATATGCTTCGTCTGATGGGTAACGCTAACTAGCTAACGTTAATGCCATCTGAGCTGGGGCTGCTGTTAGCCACAACTAGCTATTTTCCTTAACGTCAGCAAAAGCGATCTTTAATGTCCACAAAGCCAGTAGTGTAGCTAGTACTAAGGTAACGTTACTCATTAACTACAGTACAGAACACAATACGATGTTTGGTTATTAAGAACATGGCTAAATGCAATAAATACATTTGTTCCATTCATTCATTCATTCCCAGGAGTAGCCAACCTTAGCTTCGCAGGGCCCTAGTTTTACCTTGCTAGTAAAGTCAACCCCACGATCCTCGGTCACGCCATTGAGCGTGTCCCCGTCTTCGAAGCACTCGTCCCCGTCGTCGTCCCCGCATTCTCCCCGGTCTGGAGCAAATATACTCGTGGGGACTAAAGCATCAGCCAGCGGTATGGAGCCTGGGTTTATACCTGGCTCATGTGCCGCTGCTGTCGATGCCATTTCTATGCCAGTTTTGCAGTAATTAATTTCAAGATGTCCCAGTTGTTGTGATGACGGCTGACAACCAGACTCGCATAGATACTAGTTAACGTTATCCAGTGCACAACAAGCTAACGTTCATTAGCCACCACAGACCAGAGTTAAGTCAAAGTGGGTAAGCTTAGTTTATGCTGGCTATGTATGTTCTGCCAGTTTATTTTGAAGCTATTTGAAATACAAATGATAATAATGAGGAAGGTGTGACCTACCGTGTTTAGTTTACTTCATATTCACCAATAGTGTTTGAGTCTCTGTGCATATGTTAGCAGTGGACCAATAGCAGTGAGGGGGTCGTTCATATGATTACTAGGTGGGCTAGTGTTTCTCAGAGCAGCAGGTGTGGTTATACTGTAATCACAGTGTAATTCTCCTGTACTAGTACTACTGATGCAATGGTAGCTCAATCACCTTTCTGCCTGTTCATGTAAGAAATAGAAAGCTGTAAAACGGTCATTAATTTTAATGATAGTGTTTGAGTTCCCACCCTCCATGGACTAGATCAGGGGTACTCAAATATAAATTTGAAAGGTCCACTTACCAAATTTCCATTCAGTCCGAGGTCCGGAAAAGTGACGGTCAAATTCCAAATAGAGAACTACAAAAAAAGGCAATCCCAACTGTACACAAAAAAATGACATGGTAGGTGTTATATCTTGAGGTAGTACAAACTCCAGCACGCTTGTGTGTTTCAACTCTTTACTGAGTAACTGCACAACGGTACACCGTGAACACTCGTGTGACCAAACAGACAGCCCCAGAAGCCCTCGGAAACACCAAAACATGTTCCCCCCCAAGATGCCTAACTAAGGTTCGTAGCTCCCAATTCAACAGCCTCAACTATAACACCTCTCCCCCTTTAAGTTCCAACCTGAGGGCGGAAAACCCTAGAAAACAGTATCTCCACAGGGGTACTGACTATTCCAATAAACCACATGCTATGAACCTGAACGCTTTTTTTAGCTCTGTTTGCAGAGAAGCAGCACTGGCCCATTGGAAGACCTTTGTGGCTTTATTTGATATTCTGCAATATTTTTGACAAGAAATGGATTTTCGACTTGTTTTCCCAGAGGGGAATCTTCAAAGCGAGTTTGGAAATGTTCAAAACACTAAATACAGAATCAAAATAACAACGGGGAACAAACGGGCCTGAGAAAAGCTAGAAAGAACCGGCAAGGGAGTGAACGAAGAGCAGGGACTAAATACTAAATAGGGAGAAACTAATCAGGTGCAGCTGGTGACAAGCAGGTGTAGAGGATAGCGTAATCAGGTAAAGGGAGAGAAAACAGAGTGAGGGGAGTGGGAAAAGAGGTGCAACCGGGCAAACCTGACAGACTGTCTCGTCTCTCAGAGTTAGCAATGGTAACAAGAGCCATAATTCTACACTGTCAAAACACAGGCTTCCTGTCTGTCCCGCTGTTGCCTCTCTGAGTTGTAACTTGCCCTACACTCATTCAAACAGATAGGCACACAACTCATATTATCATGGGAATATTGAGTTTAGGTGCAATGGCATTATGGGAAAACTGAGCTGCCTCAGCAGAGGATTGTGCTCTCTGAATGCTGTCTAGTACACAGTTTGGAATTTTATTGTTTGTTTTAATGCAAATACCCAGGGTTCCCTGGAAGGCAGTAGGCCTACTGATAATAAGTGGTTTTCCTATTGAAAAAATAAAATAAAATAAAGCAGTAAATTGAAACTATTCATATAAAGTAGGCCTGTTGGAGGGTCCCTGTACTAAAATCCAGAACTAACTAGTTAGTTTATCATAACGTCATACCCTGGCTAACTATTTAGCCAGACAGTCAAAAGTTACTTTGGAGAACACTGGGTACTGAAGAAAGACTGTGGTAATGATTACAGTTAGGCCATGTGACTAATGCAACGCTAGGTCTGAGCTAGTATTTGAGTGTGTGATTTTTTCTGACTCCTGTATAAATCATTGGGGGCATATTTAAAGGGTCCATTGTTGGTAGCATTGCTGGATCTGACTGCCAGAGTTGTGATGAAAGGACTTTGCCTAAGCTTTAGTACACTGTAGGCCTGCAACTAATTATTGTTTTCATTATCAATTAATCTGGAGTTTATGTATTTAATTAATTAAATAATGGTTCATTAAACAAAATTCCAGAAAACGTTGTTTTCCAGAGCCCAAGGTGTTGTTTTAACATACTTTGTTTTGTCTGAATAATAGTCGAGAACCTGAAGATATTCAACTGAAAATTTAATAAAACTGAGTAAAACACCAAATCCTTACAGTTTAGAAGCTAGAACCAAAACTTAGAAACCTCTGGGATCTCCTCTTATAGACAGGGCTTTTCCATAGCCCCTTACATAACACAACATGATATGGTGAGGATTCCCTCACATGCAAGAGCTTCTAGCTGGCTTAGCTGGCCTCTTCCATGCTGCCATAGCATTCACTGTCATTGGACACTGATGCCAGGTGATTGCCTGGATGATGACAAGCTGACTTCTGGCTGAATATACAGATGGGTGACAAATTAAAGGAATATCCTGAATGCTTGACCTCTACAATGAGATGATGCAGTGGCTCTGTTATGCTGTGGGGCGCATTTGGCTGGAATGGTTTAGGTGCACTTGTTCCCTTAGAGGGAAGGGACACTGCAAATTTGTGCAAAGCTGTTCTGAGTGATCATCCTTACCCAAAGATGAAACTTCTGATGGGAGTGGTCTCTTTCAGGAGGTCAATCAAAACATAACGACAAAGCAGACACTCAATGCTGTATATAGTCAAGATGAAACCATATCATGGTTGTGCTGCTGCAAGAAAGTAACTCCATACCACTGTCTCATTTTAGGCCAGAGTATCTTAATATGGCCTAGGCCTGGAGCCAGCAGTGCTTGTTTGACCTTACTGAATTATTCAGGTACTTACCCTGATCCACCAGGGTGACTGTCAGGATTATTCATCTTCTTTGTTGCTGGGACTTACCAGTTAATCACCATCTCTCAGTCATGGAAAATGTGGCGGGTTTTAATCCCGAGACTGCAGATGATAATCTCCTCACATCTTAATTTCTCTGCTTATTATCTGAGCCTAGTTTTAAATGAGAAGCATAGCTCTGTAAGGTTCAGTATCAAGACATATTGCTGTTTTGTGACAGGGAAACCAGCTGGACAGAGGAGAGTCTGGTATTTGTTATTGAGAGGACACCGAACATGAAGCCACTCTGCTAAATGAGTGGTCATGGCACAATCCTGGGTCTTTGCCAGTTTCATTCTTCCCTCCACCTCACTCCCTGTAGCTCGCATCCTACTGTACCATCCAGGCTGTCTCATTAAGTGCCCCTTTGTTGAGGGACTATTAAGTTTAAATTTAACCTCTGTTCTCACTATTCTGGACTGCTGAAGCAGCTGTTGGCACTATCAGCTCATTTAGAATCCATTTCTGTCTGTCTGGTGTCTCACTCCCTTCAGCGTCTCTCCACATTTTCAGCCACTCAGTCCCCCATCTCTCTGGTCCAAGGACTTCTCTCCTCCATAATTCAAGCAGTGCCCTTTTATCTGTTTTTGCCTATGCTGGACCTAGTTTCTCCCTGTGGAGTATCCAGCTACTGTTCATGTCTAGGACCTGAACACCTAGACAGTTATCACCTCAGTGTTCACATCATTGTCCTGCATCAGATTCTTCAGGCATCACATTGTTTCTGACATTTGTCTGCCGAGTGCACTCGGTGTATATGTGCGTGCATGCCTTGTGGAATACAAATTGCGTGAGTGTGTGTGCACACTGTCTTTTGAGGAACATACTGTTCCCTTCCTACTGGGCATGTGAGAGTTGTGCAGAGGGAATTCTAATCTGTCACTGGCTCATTGAGAGTGCTGTAGTGGGGTTTGGCATCTGGAGAAATGCACTTTAGCAACTCCTTCATGGCAAAATGCTGTCAGAATAGAGGAGGTCAGTGGTATGGAAACAGCTATTTCTATTTTGGGGGGTTGTTGGTGCCTGTATGTGTGTTTAATCTTGCTGAATTGTTGTTTAGCAACATATGCACAGCCATACATAGTTCTGAAGTGTGTGTGTGTGTGTGTTTTGCAGGTAGATCGATGTTATCTTTCAAGTACACAAAGAATGGCCAAAGGTGTTTTAGCTTCATGTAGGCAGTTCACACTCTATCAATGTCTGCTCTGCTTGCTTTTTATTTTCTGCCACCAGTCCTCCACATCTTCTCCCTGTGGGCTCATTTTCAACCTTCCCATCTCTCCCTGACTCTGTCTCAAGTGTGGTGTTACTAGGCCAGGTCATGTTAGTGTTATGTAAGTTTAGTTTGGACTCCAGGATACAGCCAGCATCCTAGATATATGGGCTGCGGTGTCCTGTGTATAGCTGTTTATATGAACATCCACACCAGGGGATAAAAATGAGCAGGGCCTTCATGATCCAATATGTTGTAACTAAACACCAGACAGAGGGGGAAGTCCATCTTGATGTATTTTATTGTTCTGGCTCTGAGGGTTGGACACTGGAGATGGATTTGGACAGAACATTGCTATGTCCTCTTTTAAGACTTAATATAAATGCATCATAAGGAAGTCACCAGAATGACAGAATCCGGTTCAGATTTAGAAATTACGGGTGTATGAGATATTCTGAGTTTCACCAACATGTCCATGTCTCATCATGGCTAAGGAGATCTAATGGGTCATTCACACATACATATGTACATCTGCCCATTCATTGTCATTAGTACACCCAGCCATGTAAGACAGAGACAAAAGGAGTCCAGCAATGTGACTGCCCAGAGTTGGGAAAAGCTCAACGTTATGCAGATATGCTGTGAAAAAGTTTAGCAACAGCCTGGCAAGAGCCATTCAAGATGATCCTTGTCCAGTGGAAACAGAAGCAAAGACTTTTCAATCCCAAAGGAAGTTGAAGTAAGAAAAGGAAGTCTCCAATTTTTCAGTTCTGTACAACATGTCTTTACCAAGTATAGTATGGTGTACACATCAGAAGACATCGGTCCAGTCATAGCAGATTATGTAAATTACCTGCTCAACACAACACATCTCCAGAGGAACAGCACTGTCAGAGCCCAGTGCTAGCCAAGGACTTTGTCTCTCTATGTGTGAGCATGGAGTCCACTCCATATAGTCACACTTTGCACTATTTATTAATTCTTTTTTATTTCTTTGTCCCACCTTTCTTGGCTAGCTAGAAGTCCA